GGGGGGGGGGGGGGGGGGGGGGGGGGGGGGGGGGGGGTGAAGGGTGGAAGAGGAAGGCGAGGAGGGGGAAGTCAAATTACCTTTCAAAAACAAGGGCATTGCATAGGCGAGTGCAACAACAAGGGGGGTTGCCCAGAAGGGGTTTGTTAAGAATGATTTTTATCACCAAATTTCCAGACGTAAATATGCAACTAGCAAGGGAACTTACGATAATATAGTTAGCAAATAAATTTAGTACCAGAATGAAAATATGATAGTTTGATTGTTAAAAACACGAAGTTTCGAGGATGTACTCGTTATCAAGTGGCTAGAAAAGAAACGAGCCGGGCAAAGAGAAGGCGAGACTCGATAAATAGAAAATAATGCGAGATGCGACGCAACCGAAAAAACAGAATAGGGGAATGGGAGGAAAGTAAGAAATGAGTAGGAAATAGATATAAAAAGAAATAATTGAAGGAAATTAAAATGTTTACTAAGACCATCAGGGTAGAGGGGTTTTAGGTCTAAAAATTAAACGTTTCTCCAAAGTCTTCTGTTTGGTGGCATCTTGTGGTGCATGCAATAAGCCAAGGATGGACATGTCCACAGTAGAATGTTTGGAGGAGTTAAAATGTTTAGATATGTTGTTATATGCATCGCTCTGGTGTTCTTCTGTCAGATGTATTTTGTTAGCAACATTTCTCAAGTGTTCTCCAAAACGTTTGTTTATTTGACGGGAGATTTCGCCGATGTGAAGAGATTGGCATTTGGTGCAGATGATGCAGTAAATCACACAGGAAGAAGAGAAGGGAAAATGAGATCCGGTGTGGAAGGATTGGTTATGGTTGATGATAGTGGTCGATTGGGTAATGTGTGTGCAAGTACGACAGAGGCGATGTTAGCAGGGGTAAGTACCCGGCTGTTGTGATGTTTGGTTTAAGTTTGTTCTAACCAAGTGGTCCTTTAGGGAACTTGTTGCAATAAAACTCTTCTGTTGAGCTAACTAATAAACAATGAACTATGAAAAACAGCCAGTACTTCTTGCATGTCAGAATCGACAACCAAAAATCATCCTTCTCGCCCACTCAGAGACCCTCCTTGCATAAAAACATGAGACCTTCAACAAACGACTAAGACTCTAGCATTCTAGTTAATACAGATTACAGAACATTAGAAAACAAACAGGGCCTGAAAGGAAACAGAAAAGCGTGTGTGTGTGCTTGAAATAGAATAGATCTGGTATGATAGATTAGCGGTTGCAGACGGTCAAATCTGTGCAAATACCATCTAGCCGAGAGGCATCAGATCACAGAGCCATAATGCAAATACGGATAGCAAAGATCTGACAGAATTTTCACTGGCACAAAATCTAAGCAGAATGAGAGAGAGCACCAAAATTGACACATAAAATGAAACGATATCATGAACATTTGTAACGGTGGGGTATAAAGGGAGGGGAGAGAATCAATGTGACAACAGTACTGCATGTACACAAACTCATCTCAGGAGTTGTAAGGGGACACATCTCCACAGGGACATCAGAAAACTCCCTTCGGGTAGCGTATTGATCGTAGATTCATCTCCCCTGCGAGAGTTATAACTTACTAGTCTCTACATCAAAGCTGAAACATGGCTATTGTCCTTGACTGTAAGAATACTCTTGGGGACCCTTCAAAGGTCTTGTGGGAAACGTTATCCTACTTGACACCAAAAAACGTTTATACAATTGCCCTGTCCAAGTACTCCCGTTTCAACTTGGTACACTAGTAAAAATTTCTCTCTGCAAATACGATTTCATCACATTAATAGCAAAAAACCTAAAACCTACCCTAGAAAGTTCTTGCTGCATCTGCAAGGATTGTACATCTCTATGAACTGCACTCATATCCCTCTTTATGCTAACATGGTGGGTTACTTTCCTGTAAAAAGAGAATATTCAGTTACCAAGGGTTTCGACTATGTATGAATACAAAGATTTTCACACGTCGAAACGGTTTGGGACACCAATCTTTGTACGAACTTTGACATACTCAAATGCCCTTATTTCTCAGTATTTCTATTTTGCTCTGCCGCTTTTGCAGTATTTTTATATTAATCTTTACAGAATTTGCAGGGAGGTCGTTTCTAAAACAACACAGATAAAATCTATAGATCACCGAGAATGCAAATTTATATCGAGAATGCATAGTTTAAATTAAAGCTTAAATTTACAATCCTTGCCAAAATGTTGAAGCTCTTAAACAAAATCTTCATAGTTTTTAAAATCTATCCTAACGAATAAATCAATATTGTATGGGGAAGGGAGAGAATAAACCATCAGGGTTGATGACTTCGAGAGCTGTTAAACTTGGGGTTGTCAACTTTAAAGGTGAATATTGTGGTGTTGCACCTACATTTTGACAAAGATGATAGTTCTGAAGCAAGTTGAAGCAAGAAATGGTTAATCGATGTTGAAATACTTACAAATCTTTCTTAATAGTTGCGTTCGCAAACTAATCGAATTAAAACAGTTTAAGACAATCTCTAGCTTTAAAAACAAGCGATGCTTTGAATTAAGGCAGCTGATAATACGTACCCATTGGAACCTATAATTGGAATAATCTTTAGATTTTGAACGAAGTAATCTCCATTCTTTCTTCGTGCCACAGACATACCTTCCCAAGACTGAGGGAAAAGAATTTGAATAAACATGAAACTTGAAGGCTTTAGACAAAAATAAAACACTTAAAGATATTATTCTTGTAATTAAGTAAGGGAAAGACTTTTTGGACAATATGAAATGACGATAAAAACACGACACAGTTTATATGCACCATTCAGACTGTTCAAAATAAACAAAGTTTTCTTCCCACCTGATGCCTTATGTTTTATCTTCCCCCTATTTAAATCAATCACAAACTCTCAAGAGATACAAATTTAGTGAAAACGCATTACCTTTCCTTTGCTAAGTTGCTTTGGAAGTCCCTCGTGGAACTCCTGCAATAGAAATAAAATACTATTTACAAATCATTAGAGATTACATTGCATGATACTATTAGGGCAAAATTTCCATTTGGATTCCCGGGATGATAAAATCAATTCTACTTCTGAGAGCTTTGCTTTTGAAATTTGTCATTTTGTTTTCCGTCATCATGCATTATAATAATTTGTCAAAATATTAATCCATATGAAAGGCATGTTTAAATACATGACCATGAAATAATGATACATTTATGCAAAACAGCACAAATGAAAAATATCGCCATTAAGGAAGATTAAAAATTGGCAAAACCAAGGGAGGTTTCTGTCAACCATTTTGACAATATACAAGTGAAGGCGAAATATACCATGAGGTTTGTCAGAATCAAAATGGTCGCATCTTATGTTGGGTTATGGAGGCAAATGCATCCAGGGTCCACTCACCGATTTTAAGGCCTCGTGGGCTGGCAGGCTTGAGTTCTTTGGAACAGTTGAAGTAAGCTCCGATCTCCAGTTGCCTGTCACACGCTCGTACGCGGGGTTGACATACTAAAATGAAAAATTCCATTAATATGGCGTCAACACATGGATAATGAAAATTTTGAGGCAAGCCTGTAGTTTATAGCAAGAAATATTTTACAGTAAAATTCCCAAATAGCAAACACGTGATGCTTTGAATTACTGTTGGTGGCAGGGAGGTGTCTTCTGATTCGAGGTTTCTAGGTCAAAATCAATACCTTATGTCAAAATAATTAACCCATTGTTTGAAGGTGTTTATCATTGCGAAATCTCTGCTACTAGAGGTTTTAATGTATTAAGTTGAGATTTTCCGTGCGAAGATTTTTAATTATCACAACACTCGTCAAAGTAGGGAGCACTAGATAACATCAAAAGATGGTTAAGTTTTATCAAAATCTGCCGATCGAAATGAGCCAATAGGAGAAGCATTGATCCTGATTGGCTTTGGTTTGACCAATCAGCAACAGCCTTGCTTGCAAGTAAAAAAACTGAATGGCGTTTTCGGAGTTTAGGCAAATTGGCGGTAAAGAATGAAGGGTCCTTTGTAAATTCAACGTTATATAAATATAAAGATTAAATGAAGACATTAGTGAGAGGTACACAACAGGCATCCGCTTACCTGAAACTCTGATTTGTCCGATTCAATACTGCGGATTTCTATCGCATCATATACATTTTCAAGTGCACTAAACAAACAGGCGCTCGCCCTGGAAAAAACCAAAATATGTTGAAAGAAAAGGAGCCACTGATTTTCCTAAACAGGCCGACGGTTTATATATTCCTCTTTTTTATAACCTGAGATGCTTAATATGCAGTTTCTTTTATGCGGGTTTTCACTCAATGTATATTGGAAACCATTATGACAACAATCGATCGAATTTTTTCAGTCTATAAAAAAGCTGAGAGGACCAATCGTTATCAAACAAATATAGTTATCAAAGCTTCAATTCTTGCTAAAAAAGTGAAAAACTACAAAATACCCGCGACAATGCTAGGTTTTCACTTCTCTTTACAGCTAAAATTATCTCCCTTCCTCTTCCCCTCTCCTCTACCCACACCTCCCTCCTCTCCCTTTTCTTTCCCTTCCTCTCTCCTCCTTACCCTGCTTTTCCCACCTCTTCCCTCCTCTCCTCTCTCGACCTCTTCTCTCCATCGTCTCCTCTCCCAACCTCTCCTGTCAATTTTCTCCATGTCCATATTCTCCCTTCCTTTACTCTTTCCTCCCTTACTCGCCGGTTGTGTTCGCTTCTCCCCACCCCTCATTACAAAATCTTGGTTGACTTAAAGGGTCTTCCCTCGGGACCAAAATATTTAAATTCCCCCCTCTGATTGACCACTACCCTTGCCCCAACAACAAAGCTTGATTGCCATCAATTCAAGCACAGAGGTAAATCGTATTTATGAACAGAACGATCCTATAACAGGGCACGCATGTTTGATTAATATTACTAGCCAATGTATATAGTTAGGTATTTCCACGACTGCAGCCTATGGACGGGTTCCTTTAACCCAACAAAAATCCTTTATAGGGATAAAAGTAAGGGAATTTAACAATTAAAGGAATAGTTGATTAGAAACAAGCACTGGATAGACTCAAACATGGATCGTAAGTGGCATATACCAACAGGTAGGCCTGGTTGCTTTAGCGAGCGCTGAGCCCGTCAAACAATTTGATTTTGGTTTATAACTCCTTAAGCAGATATACAAAAGGTCGTAATAGAAGAAGCAATCAGTTTTGGAAATAATCCTAAGGTTGATCGACGGTCAAGTAGAGGTCACTCATTGGTCAAAAAAAGGATAGAAAATGACTCATTTGTCAACGAAATTCTTGAGTTCAAAACTGAAGGAAGCCAAAATTTTTTTCTTGAAACTTGACTACTTGGAAAGGATTTATTGGAGCCATTTAAGGACACCTAAGCGATAATGAATGGCTGAAAGCGTTAATGAATGGAAAAATTCAACGTGGATTTTTTGATGAATATTAGTAAACAATCTGAGTGAAAGTTTGAGAATGGACGACTAGCAAATTGAAAGAGGGGGTGGGGAAAAATGACAAACAGGACGGAAAAAGGGGTTATTAATGGAGATTCTGAAGAAGAATGTATTGAAATCGTTAAATATCATCAAGAAATGATAAACAACAGAAAAGATGAGTGACAACTGTTCAAACAAAAATAAAAATCTGAAAATGAGAAATACTTTACCAACCGAGCAATTAAATAAAAGCTCATGTTATTATGAAAAGATAGGTAAAGGGGATAGAAGGATGTTGATAAAAGGTTGAAAAAATACAGATATTTACCTGATTTTGGACTGTGATGCAATTTCTCCGAAGTCAAGCATAAGTAACTCATTTAAACACGCTTTCGGGTCGTTGTTTTCAAATAACCTCTGCGATGGAGAGAAGAAAGTTGGCAATAGAAAGCAGCAATACAGGGTGGGGAGTAACAGGGACAATGAGTTTATATTTAAAAGCCTTCGATTCTGATAGGAAGTTAACCGCTATAATAGGTATACCACTATGTACAAAGCTGAGGATTTCGCCAAGATATTTAATAGATTTAATACCAGTTTCGATGTCCTACATTTCTATTGCCGTCGATTCGAAGTAAATTGGAATCAATCCAAATTAATTCGGTTCGTATAGTTTCAAGAACAGGAAAAAGGTCCTGCAAAAAGTGCGCCGAGGCTGGTTATTCTATACTTAGGCCATATTTTGACAGGTTGATGACGAGGATTTGACAATTACTTCGTAGATTTGAAAAATGATACTCTTTGGGGAAGTGGGTTTCGATTCTAGGAAAACATCACAGAGACCAATGCTATCCACTTGCCAAAGATCAACAAAAACCATGGGAACAAACACCTCTGTGTCTGGCTTTTGAATTCTAAGCAATGAAACTGTAACTTGACAAAAATCTCCTTCCCCTCAATCCGCCCCCTTTCCCTCAAATCAATGTTGTGATTAGGTTGCTAATCTATGTGTTAATTCCCACTTATTCGGTAACAACTCAACCAACATTGACCCCGTGGGAAGGGGGTTATGTTACCATATAAAGATACAGCATATGAATTCTTTTTCTGTTCTGAAGTCTCAGCTATTTTTCGCCAAGATTGTAGATGTGATTGCTGAAACTACTGTGGTCCCTAATACTTGAATTGTTCCAGATAATTCAGTAGCGATTAATGCCTGACAATCAAATTCTTCACCAATCACTTTAAATTCGATTGCGTTACTTAACATTGGTTTTAAATTTGTGGCACTTGCTAAATCTTAGGATAGCCAGACGGTTTAGAAAAACAGAATCACACACGATAGCAAAGTGTAAGCTGCAAAACACTTGACCTTAAGTCATTGTTAATAAAGAAACTTATTGAAACTCTGGGTAATTTTAGCTTTGTGTGAATTGTCCAGCCATGATGTATTGGATCCAAATCAGCAGCTAATTAGAAACTACTTCAACCTAGATATTTCTGGTTAGGCCTTTCACCTCAAAATCATATTGTTAATTAGCTTTCATTGCTTTTTTAAGGGGATGAAATGTAAAACCCAGATGCACTTCAATCAATAATGGCTAGAAGAAAAAAAAACTGGGTCGAAGAAACTAAAAAGAGACTTCGTACATGCGATGTGAAAGCTTGATCGCAATGTATTCATGAATAACGATTGACAATTTTAAATGAAGTGCAATGAAGTAACGGAAATGACAATGACAGTGCTAATGTGACCAAAATGGAATTCAGAAAAGGGAATACAAAAATGCTTACCCTATTGAAACCAGCTCTTAATAATGGGAGTACCGATAGCTCTTTTGTTTCACTGGTCCTACAACAAAAATCAAAATACAGATAACAAAACAGAGTATTGTTTGACGCTTTGCCAAAAAGCACGGTTGAGACAACATAAGCAGTGAGTGGCGTAACAAGGGCATGTGCGGTCCTTAGGAATAAAACTCAAACGGGGCCTTTTCTACAGACTGCGAGAAGGTATCGTCCAATGTTTAGTAGCATAATAAATAGAATAGGAAATGTTAAAGGCATTTGCGCAACCGGCATGCTTTGCGACTATACTTTCAAAAACCGGCCTAAAATCGTACTGCATGAAAATACAAAACACAGTCAATTTCTCAAGACAGCTGCCGCTAAGCATGCCGGTTGCGCAAGAGCCTTTTAAATGATAATTTTTCTCATTAACCGAGGGGAGCTGAGTAACATGTTTCAGTTGAAAAAGTTTATGAAAACAATATGAGCTTGAGTGAAATCTTAAAAACATGAATATAAAAACATATATTGGGTATTTCTGATCGGTGGTCCTTAGCTCTCGAACTATGATACCTTAAACTAGGTTATGCCACTGAACACAAGGTTGGGCGAATACATTAAACATAAGGGGACTTACGGACTTTTCAGCAAGCCAACTATTATTGTATTTTCATTTGGACGAGTTGCTCGAATATTCCTGCAATAGAAAAAAATTCAGATATATTGATTAAAGTTTCAAAATGAGTTAACAGTATCGTTTGAGTTGAATTAGAACTGGTGTTATCTCAGGTGCTCTTCTAGGGGTACAGAAAACTGTTAACCATAAGATTATTTCCAAAAACCAAATTACAAGATCAGGATAGGGTCTATTAACAAATGAAAAGTAAAGTCTTGTATAAAACATAGAACAAATACGGTTTGATTACTTCAAAACGAATCTAACAGCTCTTCATTACACTTGGACTAAGCTTTTTCACTTGGAAGCTAATGGTAACATATGTTTCAGAATTATAATACACAAAGAGAAAAAACTAGAGTCATCAAAAATCTATACTTTTGGGTCAAAAGAACAACTAGGGTTATGGATTCTGGAAGATCTTGGCCGCCAATTTCGTCAAGTTACTTCTTCGAAATTATAAAAAATAACATTCACAAAGTCTAACCTGCAGAGAGTTTCTCCTTCAAAGAAAACATTCGACCGCAGATCGACAATTGTAACCTAGAAAGAGAAACTGTCGTTTGAGGGGAACTGAAAATCGTTTCTGCATAAACTTAAGAAAAAGAGACGTTGAGGATAAAGTTTGAAAAACCGAATACCAATGAGTTTGGCTATCCAGTTATGACTTTGTCTGCAGCGTTCAAAATAAGTCTTCAGTTAGGACATAAATATTTACCTTTTTCAGACATACAATCCCGGACAAAAATGTTGAGACAAAATGTAATTTTTGTAATTTTCTACTTTACCTTGCCCCTGTAAATTCGATTCCCCCCTTTCCCCCCGGAGCAATGTTGGATTTGTAGTTCTATCATTTCTCCTTCAAAATCATGCATTTAACATTGAATTGGGGGAAGGGGGGAAGTTATTTTTTAGAGGAAAGTGAAAATATGAGCTTTCCTTGAAAAGTCTCAACCATTTTTGTCCGGGATTGCACATTTGATTCAAATATGCTTGAGTGTGTCGAGTTTGGCACTGAGTTTACAACAACAAAACATGATTTTCACAAAGTAACGAGCTACTACTCTCCTCAGGATTTCCCTTACAGTTTACGAAAGCAAGGTTTTCTGAACCATCCGGGAAATTTTACTAGGCCCAAAATTTGATTTCAATTAGAGAGACTTAAAAACCAAGCTGTGTGATAGAAAGTTGTTAAAAATTGATGTTTTGAGGATGTAGCGAAAAGACGACGAAGGTATAAAATGAATTTATAATTTTTCGCTGTCATCTTAGACGTCCATTGATTGAGAGTTTCAAGAAGAGGTCTTACCTCTGGTTGTCTTCTTAAGTAGTACTCCATCGCACTTTCAGAGGTGTGAGCAATCTTACTTCGATAGCCCCCTTGGTTACACGCGGAAACGAAAGCGTCCGTTTGTTGGTCTTCTTTTCCAAAAACGAGAAGAACCTGCGTTGAAAGAAAGATAGTGGCTTTAAGTTACAGGTTTTCACCACTTTATTTTAAAAGCAGAAACTAGCGTGCAAGAACCTAGCGAATTGCTTGTAGTATATATTTGTATCACAAATCAGATACGACACGCAGTGGCTAGAGAATGCCCACTCGGTCAAGTGGACTTGCCAAGACAACTGAAGAAATCTGCGAAGATATGAAATCATAAGGTATATTTCAAAGCCCCGCAAAATAAATACGTCAATCGTTTTCAAGTGGGTTAGCCCGACGCCCCCCCCCCCCCCCCAAGAAACCCCTATGAGCCAATTTTTAATAAAATAACGGGGAAACTGGCGACGCAGATGCAACCAGAAGAAAATCCCCTAGAGAACGACAATAATGATTTATTAAAATTCATCTAATCCCGGAAATTCTCTCCACGTTTTCGAATAACTTGCAAGACTGTTCAGGTCGCATTCTCAGGTTGACTAATCAGTTAATATTCGCGGTTTCACATCCGAAAAGGCAGACATACAGTTTGATCGTTCAGTTGTCCAACTGGGTGGTATTCAGGGGAAACTTAGAAACTAAACAAAGAATTAACATAGAAAATAAAAGATAAACGAATGCCAATGAAGTAAGAGGCTTCCAATGAAATAAAAAAGCTTCTTAGATCTTCTCCAAAAAATTAGGGCAAGCAAATACGTGTTTGACGACACCTGACTTTTAGACATCGTGAATGCCTAATCTACATAAACTTCCCCATGCCTGATAACAAAACGACTGATCCAGGGGTATGTTGCCAAGGGGTCAGGGAGCTGCTGAGAACCCTTTGCTAATGCCAAAGGGAAACAATGTCTATTTTTGCTATTGCTTTTTGGCACATTTCGCCCAAAGGCCCCCCTTTTGTTTTTTCAATAGCACTACAACCTTGGCCAGTAACCAGCATAACAAATTGCATACAGATTAGTGTCATTTACGAAATTATTATATTATCGAATTTATAGCGGTTTTAAAATATATTATTTGTTTCAAACGTCTAACTTTCGCATTGTCATGAAAATTCTGCAGACAGAAGTTTCCTAATAACGACACTTCCAGATAACAACACCTTCGAATAACTGGCACATTCAAATAATGGATATCATGTAACGGACACCTTCTAGAAACCTTAAAACCAAATAACGGACATCTTCTAATAACGGACACTGTCCAAGAGTGGACACGTTCCTCCTAACGACAGGCACCTCTCCCCCAATAATACGAACACATCCCATTAATACGAACGTCCAAATAACGGACATCTTCTAATAATTGACACTTAATTACTCCCATCACGGACAATACTTAACAACGGACACCCCCCAATAAAACAAACGTCTCTTGGGTTCTTTGTGGTCTTATGGGGTAAATTGATAAGCTCGTTTGTAGCATTGAAGCCCCCAATAAACATGTTTGCTCAGGACAGACGCATGGTTGCAATAAATCAACATTTTTGTTGAAAAGGACTCGTGGAAATGATCCTAGCGTAAGACAGCAAAGAGACTGCAAAACCCTGCCACCGTCAAACCACAACAAAGCCACACATAACAGGTCCGGTTTCATTTCAGTCTTCAAAATTCTGTAAAGAGCTCGATCCCTTTTCGGCTGTCGAGAAATTCTGGTGTGAAGCCAAAGTGAAGGTTAAATTGGGAAGCAAGGCGATTGTGAGGTACAAAGGCAAGGGGCCTGATATGACACTTATTCAACACATTTGCAAATCATAGGCGAAAACCTATACGTGAAACCGCAGTGGAGGGATTTCATCACTAAACAATCTAATCTACAAGGAAATTATTCATGTACCATTCAACCAGTCACTGAAATTTTAACATCTTTGTCGAAAGGCAAAAAACGTGAAAAGAGGGTGAGAAAAGCCCTGAATACCAGTGAGAAGTTATTCAACTCTGTGAATGACGACCCAGAGGGCTCAACGTGAGTTACGACATTTCAAGCGCCTTTGTCAAGAAGCATTTGATTTGAATTCACTTGTCCTACTTGCCTCTACCTCCTCCATGGTAATTTCCAAGGTCATTGTACTCAAGTTCAAAACAATGTAACGGTGGCACCACTGGGGTGGCAAAGAAATTACCTTCAGCCAGGAGTGCCGTCCTGAAAAGTTGGGAAGGGGGCTTGGCTGTAGAGAACGACTTATGAAGCCACACCCATTGCTTCACCCTATATACTTGCTCTAAGATGACTCTCTAAAGGCTTATAGAAATTGCCCATTCAATCATTAGCACATAAAAGGGTTCAGTCACATCCCCAAGTAAGGAATTTCCCCAACCAAACATAAACTGGCTTGCTAAAGGGGGCTGCCCCCTAAAAATCTCTATTAATTGTGACAATGGAGGCTGGGCACCACCGAGCCCCAGTCCCCCTCCACGACACCACTGCCTTCGGCTTTGGTAACAGATGAGGTTGCAGTTTCACGGATAATGGAGAAATAAACATACTTTTTAAGTTGCGTGGCACATCTGCCAATTCACGAAAGGCTCTTATATAACACTGGCCTCGATAAGGTTAAGGCCTCGTTTTTGTGGCGAGAAAGGATTTTCTGGCAATCGGCAATACTACCGTTGTTTAGAACAGCCAAAATACATTATAGGTGTCGATTTCTGAAACGAAGGGATGAGAAAGAATTTCTGGTAAACCAGGAAGGTTGAGAAAAATCCTCAAAAGACATTTCCATGGGATTCTGGATAAGGTGCGTGGGCAGCCACTGTAAACGAATCTGAGTATGGCTAAGACATACTTCATTAAAACCTAGAGACATCCTTCAATATTTAACAGGTCCAAACCAACAGAACAAATAACTTGGAATATTTATTAAAGCGGTCATTGGCTTCCAACCAACTGCAGAGCTGATTCACGCCGTTAAAAACGATTCAAACAAGTAAGGGAATCACTTACAAACTCAAAATAGATCGTTTTAAGAGAGGGGAGTGGTCTGTGAATCAGATATAATGAAATTAATATCAATGGCTACCTCCCAGTTACGGACAGTTCCCAATAACAAACATCTTCTAATAAAAATAACTCCTCATATAACGGACAGTTACCAATAACAAATACCTCCCAATAACCGGTATCTGCCTTTACCGGACACTTCCCAGTAACAGGCACCGTCCAATAAAGGACACCGTTCAATAACGGACACCTCCCACTAACTGGTATCTTCCAATACCGGACACTTTCCAGTAAAAGAAACCTACCAGTAACGGACACCTCAAAATAACCAGTACCTCCCAATAACAAATACCTCCCAATAACCGGACACTTCCCAGTAACAGGCACCGTCCAATAAAGGACACCGTTCAATAACGGACACCTCCCACTAACTGGTATCTTCCAATACCGGACACTTTCCAGTAAAAGAAACCTACCAGTAACGGACACCTCAAAATAACCAGTACCTCCCAATAACAAATACCTCCCAATAACCGGACACTTCCCAGTAACAGGCACCGTCCAATAAAGGACACCGTTCAATAACGGACACCTCCCACTAACTGGTATCTTCCAATACCGGACACTTTCCAGTAAAAGAAACCTACCAGTAACGGACACCTCAAAATAACCAGTACCTCCCAATAACAAATACCTCCCAATAACCGGACACTTCCCAGTAACAGGCACCGTCCAATAAAGGACACCGTTCAATAACGGACACCTCCCACTAACTGGTATCTTCCAATACCGGACACTTTCCAGTAAAAGAAACCTACCAGTAACGGACACCTCAAAATAACCAGTACCTCCCAATAACAAATACCTCCCAATAACCGGACACTTCCCAGTAACAGGCACCGTCCAATAAAGGACACCGTTCAATAACGGACACCTCCCACTAACTGGTATCTTCCAATACCGGACACTTTCCAGTAAAAGAAACCTACCAGTAACGGACACCTCAAAATAACCAGTACCTCCCAATAACAAACACATTCCAATAACCGCTATTTTCCAATAACCATTCAATACCGGACACCCCCATCTTCTAACGACGGACTTTTCGCTACAACGAGTACCTCCCTACAACAAACAACTCCTAACAACGAAGGAATCCCGCTAAGAGACAACTCCCAATGACGGACACTTTCAAGCAACGGACATCTTCCTACAACTCGCAATAACGGATACCTTTCAATAACGGGCATCTTCTAAAAGCCGACTCTTCCCAACAACGGACATCTCACAACCACAGGCAACTCTTTTTAGCGGACATTTTCCCAAATAATTTTTGTCTCTGACAGTCTACAGCGTACAGACATCCTATAATTACCAAAAAGAAAGCAGAAAGTCATTTTCAGGGGCGGATCGAAAGCAACATGAGCCGAAGACACGTTTGATTTGTCCCTCGTTTTTTGACCAATTAGCGGCAGATTTCAGCATTGAAAATTAAGATTCAAGTTTAATGACTTTCTTGACAAGCAAAGGTTATTATGCATATCTGTACAAACACTGTCTAGAGTTATACCCAGAACTGAAAACATCGTCAACATCTTGCAAAAGAAAATAACCATTATCGTAGTGATCATAAAACTCTCAAATATCACCAAGAAGCAAGTAATAACACTTGCATTAGAAACCATTTATATTAACAGAACAAATATTATTAAAAATGCATAACCGTGTGTATTTCTAAAATCACATAATGGGAGTTTTTTGCTGGTTAATCATGTCCTAGTAAGTGTTTCACACAAGGGCGATTTCGAAAATGGTAATTTGCGAAATTTCTTTGCTTTGAAAAATCTAGTTCTGAAGTTTCAATGCTTCTTGAAAAGCCGGGTACTGCTTTCGCAAACACAACTCTCATTTAAAATGAAGAAGAAGCAATCCACTACTCTTACAGGCAACTCCAATTTTCATATGCAAGTATCTGCTAGTAACAAGGGTCAAATCGCTTGTTCCTCAAAACGCGTCCAGGCTGTAGAAAAGCTGTGTGTTAAGAAAGTAAACACAGTCGTGAAAAAGAC